CACTGGCTGACTGGATGCGGAAACTTCATCAGCCAGACGGCTCATTTTTAATGCATTTGGGAGGTGAAGCTGATGTTCGAGGTGCCTACTGTGCCACAGCAGTTGCAAAACTTACTGGGTTGCTTAAAAAATATCCTAATTTGTTTGAATCGACTGCAGAGTGGGTGGCTAGTTGTCAGGTGAGCTGTTTTTACGTGCTACTGGGATTAATTATTCCAAATATGTGATTCAGTACCTCTTTTCTGCATGAAAAGCGTTTATATATCTGGGACTAATATATAATAGGAAACTATTCTTCATAAATAAATAATTGTTTATGTTAGCAATTTTGCCAGATTTTTAATTCAATCCAATAAGATCTCTTCTAAATCCATGCAGTCAGTGGACAAATCAGCAGTTCCTTTTTATCGCCGACTCAACTCAGCAGTACAGAAAAAGTTTGTTTCAACATAAAACTTTAGATTACACTTATTTTGATGTTGTACATAGTAAATTGCTGCTCAAACCAAAGTAGGAACAATGGATTTAAAGCTAGAATGTAATAACTTTAAGATTGTGCATTTGGCTTATTTAATCATATTAACAATATTTTATGTTTCAGGAAAGTTAAACGCTTGCTCAGACTAGTGTTATTCTTCGATTCATTCACAATACAATTACATTAACTTTAATTGAATAATATATAGTGAAAAAGTGGAAAAAGATGTCTTTTATGTGATCTACTTAGAAGTTCGTCACTCAAATAACTAATAAAAGCTTATAGAGAAACGTAAATTGCTTCCAAGTTCACTTTCATAATCTTAGCAGATTTTGCTGTGCATATATATACTTTTATTGTAGACGTATGAAGGTGGTTTCGGCGGTCAACCTGGATTGGAGGCTCATGGTGGTTATGCCTTCTGTGCGGTAGCAACGCTGTGCCTTTTGGGAAGGTCAGATTTAATTAATTTACCTAGACTATTGTATTGGGTCAGCCATCGTCAAATGGCGACAGAAGGTGGTTTTCAGGTAAGGGATGTTTTGCATTTTGTGTTTTTACGCACAAAAGTGGATAAGTAATTACGATGAGTAATCAAGTCCATTATCATGTAATATCTGTTCAAACACTGACTTCTGCAACTTAGCTTAAAATTGTAACCGAGTGGTTAACAGTAGATTGCCCAGACAAATGAATCCTCAGATGGTCTTTTTCTATCGTATGAGAATCTCCACTACTAAATATTAGTAAATAAAATGTATATAGGTCAATTTAAGTATATCTAATTGCAAATATAAATGAATTTAAGCGTTTTATCAAAAGTTAGACCACACAAAAAAAACTGAAAAAAGAATACTCAAATGAACTATTTTTAAAAACCATTTATGACATTAAATAAGCAAACAGGTAATAACTTCACACTTAAGTACATTTCATTATCATTTAATTGATTTCCTTATGCTTATAAATGGAATTTATTATATTGGTGATTTTATAAGACCTTATTAATACATTTTCATCATAAAATTTCATAGATTTTAGTTATCTGATAATTTTGTCATGAAATTAAAGTTTCAACTGAAGTAGTTATTCCTTGTTTCAATGAAAATATTAACACAAGTAACTGTCAATTAGGACAACATGCATATCTTCAACTTCACTGCTAGTTACCATTTGATAAATTCTGTGTTATGTAAATATTTTTGTTGTAATCAGTTTGTACCGAAACGATCTTTTAGAGAATTAATGTAGCAGAGTTATTAAAAGTTAGTCTCGTATGTTCGAAATACCATTTATGATTAACTAACAAGGTAAAATGTCCCGTTGACTTGAAACAAGAATGGTTGTCGAAATTGCCAACTTTTGCCATGAAATGTCTATGATCCTGTAATCTTACATATCAGTAAATTCCTTATTAGACTTCGTTTGGTATTTTCTATCTATAACTTGTAGATTACAGTGATGTTACTGGTTAATTCATGCTGTTTTTCCTATTATATTAGTCTAATTGTAATCTGTCCTTTTTACACCGGTTGTATTTATAATTTTTAAATTATATTCAGTTGATTCACCGTACTCATAACATTTAAATTGACTAAATCATGCTGTCTTTCGACTTACACTTGAATTTTTAAAACAGTCACAGATTAAGCTGCAACGTAAAATATTTTCGTTCCGTTAATAACTTGTTGATCTTTATTCCAAGGGTAGAACAAATAAGTTAGTGGACAGTTGCTACTCTTTTTGGCAAGGTGCTATTTTCCCAATTGTCGAAGAACTGTTATGGCTGTCTGGCGACCCTGCGCTTAACGACATTGATACGTTGTTTAACCCTTCTGCCTTGCAAGTAAGTTTCGTTAATTTATGTTGTATTTGAAATATGGCATGTAACATTTTGGTAGGTTTTTAGTCTCGGAATACGTTTGTTCATACTTTAAAACGCCATACACAACAGTGAGGTGTCACTGAAAAATGTACAAATATCTAATGAATTGTTGGTTAAATTATCCTACTTTAAAGCATAAAATGACTTTTTGAACTCCTACTTCGAGTAAACAATCCAGTAGTGTTAATATGTTTTGCACACTTAAGCATGATTAGAAGGCGTGTACGCAAATCTGTATTCATTTCAGAGTTACACATTATACGTACAAACGTAAATAATATTGCTCCTAGCCCAAGTGTTTATCATCCCAAGTTACAACACCTTAACACAATGAGGAATCAGAAAGAGTCAAAAAAACGAATGTCATTTCGTTGGCACGAGTGAATAGTTAAAAACAAGGAAATAAGTCAATATAAGAAGTATGGAATAATACAATATTTGAAATTTAGTCTCCAAATATTAATTACAATTATCTCGGGGTCCCCTATTAAGAAAGCCATATCTCTTCATACAATTCAGAGCGGCAGTCATTGACTTCCCGGACCGGTGCCATATATTAGTTATACCCCCTTAGTCTTATTACGTGACAATCATTTCAACATACATTGCAGAGGTAACCTGTAGCTCTGGTCATACGTAACACATCCCACCTACTTTTGCGTATAAACCGTCAAAACTTCAATTTATTACCTCTACCTAGTGATTTACGTTCAGAATCAACATGACTCACTTGTCCTACTTTGTGCAAGGGATGTGCACGCTTGACTACATGACAGCCTACACACATATCTCTCTAGCTTAAATATCGTTTGATGAATCATTCTCCCCCCTCATGTATACATGTGCTCGAATCATATTAATAGTCTTCTCCTTGATTCGATTTGGCTATGAATTCGCCTCTGTATTCTCTCGCCCACACACATATTCACCTCTGCTTCGAATTCGTTCGATGTGCTTATAACTTTGTTATCCACTAATAAACTGTAGTCGCCGCTTTCTATTGCCTTTGAGATTTATATAATAATAGTTATCAAGATGATTGATTAACGAAGCTAAGCCGCTACAACTTGGTTTCAGAAGTAGGAAAAATAATTTCGGATAATGTGATCTAATTTTCAAGACTCGGGATTCAGACAATAAAAGCTCCAACATGCATTTGTTAGTGGTTGTTGAGTATTAATTAAAAAGGGTTGGTAATAAAAATATAAAACGGAAACGAAGAAAGGGGTTAAGGGTAAGCAGAATGAACATGAATGATGCTGAACATGTGCCAAGAACTGACACTTCTCGACTGCTCATATCTGGAAACTGATATTTGTGGTCTTATTCGCTTCAAAGGATGTTAACGAAACATAAACAATAGTCTTCTCGCAAATTATTGTTTTTGGTTGTGTAGCATTATCTCCATGGCTTTTCAACCTTATCACTGGCACTAAAAAGCATTTTTATGGCTGATATTTTATAACCTCTCTCTTCGTCTACAAGAAAGCAGCCACACTGAAAGTGCCGGCTATGCGTCAGAAATATTACACTGCTATTAGGACACATTAAACCTGGCAGGACAGTTTCACTACCACTCAGAATTTTCTGCTTTCAGTAAAGTCGCTTTTCACTCGACTTGCATATCATGACATGAATCGAAGCAAGAAGTACTTCAGAAATTATAACTCGATTCAGTCGTTACGTTAAGTAGGGACGACTATTGAGTTGGAAAGTAACTATGATTTGCCGATATAATAAAAACGTGATAAATTTTTGTTTTTAAGTTCAGCACCATGCTCTAGTGTTCGTGGTTCTGTGGTATAATCTTGAATGTATTTGTTTCATGTCTGTCTAGTTGACATAATTCATTCAGTCTGTTTGTATTCATGAAAATTTATTTAACAGCTTAAAGTACCACTATGATGAACTTATCGATGAGTAAAACGTTCTTTTTTAGTCTTAATCGCTATACTTAGAAAATGGTTTGACAAATGATAATCATCCTGCCCGTGTGATTACCTTTTTTAAAGCTGAACTATAATCCTATGGATGTAGCAGATAGATATAATAGTAGGCTATTTCCTAGATTGCTGTTATGGTCCCGAACCATTATGCCAATTCCTGGATTTTCCAAAGACCAAATAAATCATTTTAGTAGCGTAACGAAAAGAAACAGGATATGTTAGTACTAATACAGGCAATACAAGTTTATTCACTGAAATATACCTTTCTGTCCAGGCTACTGACCTAATCCTTTTGAAATTAGTTTTCATCAGTTTAGAATATTTATTGAAAAGATATATTACTGAATATTTTAAAGTTGGTTTCTTATGTCACCTTGGAAAAATTCATCCTTACAATGAAAGAAGTTAATAATTTTTATGGCATATCCCATTAATTATTAAACCTGTATTAGATTTATTCAAATTGAATAGATTAACAAATATTCACTTACGTTCTAACCATAATTTGACACAACAAGTACGTATTAAGATAATGATATATATTACTGAATCGCGACTAAGCAGTTATTTGTACTCGTTGATTGGTTGTTATAGTGCTCATCACCAGAATCTTAAGTGTCGATTGTTGTCTTAGGGCTAACTGCTTCTCTAATTACTAGAAACTACCTGCAAAATGGGTTAAATCTCCTGTAAATTACTTGATTAAATAGTCATTTACTCAATATTTGATATTAATTTATCTAATAAAAGTTGTGATAGTTTTCAAGAACCAGAAACTATGAAAATTTATCAATTCATAATTTTATTCTTTACTAGGAATATATACTGCTCTGCTGCCAAAAGGTTTCTTACACTCGTCCAGGTCTGAGTGTGCATGCAGATGATTCTTCTGGTGAAAAATTGTCTTCAAATAAAAATTTCACGTCTGAATACGATGTATCTACTTCTGATGGTGGATTAATTGATAAACCTGGAAAAAACCCTGATGCGTATCACACGTGTTACTCTTTAAGCGGATTGAGCGTAGCACAACATTCTCCTCGTTGCCGTGTTGAATCACACCAAAAATATGATCTTCCTCATCCATCACCTGCTGTCGATGTATTAGGTGAAGAATTAGGTAATGAACTAGTCGACTTAGACCCTATCCATAATATCATGCATGATGGTTTAGCATTTACTGTCACGTACTTTTCTGAGCTGGATAATGGTCATTCACCAAAAGATGCAGAGGAATTAGCGTTGGCGGCAGCAGAAAAGTACTCTGTACCCGCATTATCAGTATTCCAAAGACAGGAAAGTCCTACGGAGTTCCATACTTATGATACCAGTGATAATGAAATCACTGTTCCTCAGCATTCTCAATCAATGAACACTTGTACAACGCCGTAGATATTTTATAAGATTGTGACGTGTGGGTGAGAATGGTTGGTTGTAGATAGTCTGACAGGCGTTAGATAAGTTATATATTTTCTTATCGTTATTATTATTATTATCGATTGTTGCTGGATTGTGTCGGCTTGTTGTCGGTTTTTGGTGTAAATATATTTACGTTTCAGTCAGACTAATCACGTGTTCTTGATCTGAGTTGTGTTGAAGTCCTGTAGAATAGACACCGGGAGGAAATCTAATGGAGATATACGTCTACGGCAAATTAGCGTCCCATTCGTAAAGACAAAGGAAATCCGAGCGTTATAACAGATTGTCATTTTTATTTTTCCAGAAAAAAACACTTTACATTTTGATTGTTATCACTATGTTGATGTAACATTTCCTGCAAGTTTATGCTTTGTTTACGTTTGGGTAGACTGCGTCATACTTTGCCGGGAGACCGTATATTAGCGTTGCACTGATAACTAATATGGATCCGACAAATAAATACCTAAATGAAAATGAATTTATGAATATTAGTTTTGTTTAAGAGAATCAATTAAGGTGTTAATATTGGATGTCTATAATGTAGATCAAACAATAAAGTGAAATATATGACTGTCACTTAATATGATTTTATTAATAACGTATCCTTTTTGCAACATGAAACAAATCAGAAATTCAACCTACGACGTTTTAAATACATGATACATTGAATTTTTTTTAACTATATAAGTGTTCTGTAAGACAGTGAGTGAGTAATGTCTGTAAAACAAAACTTGTCAAATTAATGATGGATTCTAGGTACCTGTGACATTCTTAGTAAATGGATATATTTTAAACAAACTTTCGTGTGCGTACAAATGACTAAGGATACTTCATTGTGTCTTGACATCATCAGACGGGCTAGCTAAGTCTGTTTTATAAAAAAGACAGACTAACAAATACATTGATTGACAACTAGAGGAACTACAAATATAAGTGTACTTAGCCTACAAATTGTATTTAAGGCGCTCCCACATTACGAACAGCATTTAAAAGTAATGTTTACTGAACTACGTACTGAAGGTTGAAGAAAACAATATTGTGCTATTTCTTACATGTTTGGAGTAAAGTCATCAAACAGGAAATAAGATATGAGAGATGACAGAATCATTGATAGACCCATAGAGAAACCTTTCAAAATGTTATCAGCATATTTCATGACAAAGGCTATTGCTAGCCCTCCAAACGCCTGAAGAATAACTACAATCCAAACGATAGGTGTGTAACCGTAAAAAAAACCCAGAGTTTTGACTCTTGATGCATCGTTAATGAAGACTCCAAACAGACCGATTGGCACGCCGAAGAGACCTAAAATATAGAAGGAAATTCATTAGTAAATATTAGTATCTATAAGGATGCATTGTCAAAAGTCAAGAGTCAGTGCGTAAGCTTAGCATCTTAATGATCTCAGTAAGTATCTAAGTCTAGATTAGTGGCGCAAATCATGGGTAATGATTGTCACCCGAATTATGGTGATTGGAAGTTGCAATCGCATCGCTATAAGACTTAAGACCTACAACCGAGTGTTGCATAGTCACAAGGGTGACCGATTAGATCTACGCACAAATATATCCATTATCAATTTAATTGAATGACACAGTTTGAAATATAGTGAGATTATTTATTAGTCTAGCAAGCCAAACAGCATTCATGCCTTAACTACATACAAGTTTGTGTATTACAAAACGGGTCATATCAAAAGTAGTAGGGAAGTGTATTAAAATTGACGAACAAAATTGAACCATGACCATTGCTTAGCCGTACTACATGTTTTTTGTTGTTGAGGTAACTGACGACAATTAAATATATTCACCAAGCATTTGTCAACTTTTCACAGGCAACAACTAAAGGTTACCGAAAGTCGAATATAGGATCAAGAAAGATTATTATGACAGATCTTATCAAAAGTATGTGCAACGCATTTATCAGCAAAATGTAGGATTTTTCCTTATCATCAAGATAGAGATTTTCACAAATTTTGGAAAAGCTAATAAGGAATATTTGGACGCTGAAGATGCTAAAAAGAGTGGTGAGGACATACAGCGACTTTTCTACAGTCGACTTCAACTATGTTTAATTTTTGTTGAACCCTTTTATTAACTTAACAGACAATGTTTTTCTAACAGCAATGGTTCGTCTATTTATTTGTTTTATTATGATCATTGTCTTATCTGTATAGACGTGTACGCTTGATCACATGGCAGCCTACGCACAAATCTCTCTAGCTTAAATGTTAATATCTTAAATAGCGTTCGATGAATCATTCTCTTCCCCATGTATATATGTACTCGAATCCTATTAGTACCCTTTGTCTTGCTGTTCCCTTAATAGATTTGACCAAAAAATTCGCAAGTTATAAAAGACCAGGTTATTAGCCAATGTTATATATTTAATATGATTCATATTAACCAATGTTTTCTGTCTCACCTAACTGTAGATTTCGCATCCAGATCGAAGTTGACGTTCCTTTAAATATTTTCTCAAGGTAAACACCAGCAAAGCCGCTAGTAAAAGAAGCCAATAAAATTGCCAACAACCCATAAAAATTTGAATGGAATTCACTGCTCGATGTTGATTGATCTAATGAAGGCAACTAAGAGTTATAGCAAGAAAAAGAATAATTCACAATAAATAATGTTAAAATGTTTCAAATAGTTATAATGCTAAGATTATGTATGTAATAGGCTTAATGGTTCAAACAGTCGGTTTTCAACCACTAGGTCATAAGATTTGGGAAGAGATGTATTATCACTAACCGTCGCACGTAATTATGTGCCTGGCAAGTGGATCAAGTCATTATTTACAAATTTTTTTACCACATGGGGACATTACATCTTTACGACTTTCAGAATCGGGAAAAATATTTTTATTATACAAAAGCTTTATAAAACAAGTAATAATTTGATCAGAATGGTTAGATTTCAGTATCAAGAGTTAGTTATTAAATAGGATTACTTCCAATGAGGCTACAAATGAGACTGTTAGTATTTTATGTATAGGAGAATCTGATTATAAAAAACAAAAAAATTGGAGATTACCATGTATGTTTCGGTCTAACATTTAGATGAACATGAATAACGAAACGTGCAAGCATAGAAACAATAACTGAATTTATGATACGATTTTTGTATTTGAGCTTCAATGTAGATTAAAACGTTACTTCTTTGCAAAAACTATAGTGATTACGCTTCTGTATAACGTTCAGTCGACTAACACGAGTACAACCACAAAAATGTTGGCTTTAGACCTGAGACTAGCAAAGGTCATTACCCAACGAATAAAAATACCCTACTACACACTTATTTGGACGACAACATATGATGTAGATTTGGAAAGCGTTTCGAAACATGATCTTGTGTCAATTTTGATTATGTATATTATAGTGAGGTTTGTCAATACAATTAGAATGAACCATTTTAAACTGTTGTAATGCTAATTTGATTGCTCTAAATTTGTGTTATTTTAGTTACATTGCATTCAAAATTTTGGACTTCATTTGTAAAGTGGATTAGAAGCAAAAAAACATGCAGTAGTTATTTTTTATACTGTTCATCAATATTCCCAGAATCTTAAGAAACATCAAAACCATTACAAGGTTTATACAGTACAATGTTTCATCAATATGAAATGCCTGTAGGTCAGTTTTATTCTTGATTATGACTGTAGGTTTAAGCAGAGCACATTTGCATCAGGTCCTGAGTGACCCATAAATTCAAGCATCTATAGTCTCCAAAAGAGTGATAAACTTGGAATATTCACTCTATAATCAACATAAAACCTGAGATAAATGTGCGTCAACCTAAGTTGAAACATGGAGTAACTTAGAAAAAAAAAACGAACGTATAGAAATTAAACATTTCAGGCGATAGGGTGTGTTTCATGTTTCAATGTCAGGCCTATCACAACCATCACAGAACACTTAACTACAAAGAGAAAAGCTTTCAACAGAATGAACCTAATTATACTACTTGGAGAGCAAGCAGCACTGCAGAAAATAGCAGAGTATACGGTATTTATTGTGAAACCTTACCTGTGTTAAGATAATACCTGTACTGAGTAATAAGAGAGCAAACCATTGAGTTGAACGTAGGCGGTGATTTAATAATAGTATCATAAATATAGCAGTAGTGAATATTTTACTCTGATAAAGTATCTGATATAAAACAGCATTCAAATGTGAAATGGCAAAATATAGTAAATTATTCTGTACAATATAAAGAGTTGAGGGAATTAAAATTTGAATCATATCATTATACTGAACAATTATTTGATTATATATTGATGAAATACTACGTTTAATTTCACCTGAAGTATAAAGAAAAAAACAGTCAAGAGTTTGATAATGAATTCAGAAAATGTAGTCACAGAATAAACATGTAAATTTATTCCGATGACATTTTTGAAAAGGTCAAGCTGTGGTTTGGTGAGTTCAGGGAATTTATTTCTATACTTTAAGTTGGAAATGAACTTTAATTATCGAGTCTTGGGCATGCATATAGCCCATATATGAATTCATGGCCTGGGTACACAAACCTGAAAGTAGTATTTAGGTGGCACTCAATATTCAAGAACGTCTACTTAGATGCTTTTGTCTACCAATATATTAGTGATTCTAAAACAAAATAATTATTACCTATTTTATAAATAACAAGAAACGGCTTTTGTATTTCACGACCTCTCGTTTTAGAGTTTCATTATAAAAAAACAGGCTTAGAGAGCCCGATGAATATATCTTACTCCACAAATTTCCTTCAGCAGTAAATAAATTAAGACTAGGATGTATTGTAAGTAATAGACATGGAAACATATATTACTAGATATAATGATTTACCATAATTTTAGGTTATTTGAATTTATTTATTTGAACATATATATATTGGTACAAGAGTGCGCCAAATATATATGCGCCATACGAAACAGTGAGAATTTAAAGAGAAGGAAAGAGAAAAAAATGGTAAGGAGGGTAAAAAAGAACAATAAGGAAGAGAGTGGTGTGAGGTAGTGTAATAATAATAGTGGTAATAATGGGGGAACGGAAAGGTACAATCAGAAGAAATCTTACAGTTAAGGAAGAAACAACCATATTTCTTTATGAAGAAAGTAAAGGGTTACAACAGGATCGCCACTGGCTTCTATTATGAGCCATATCTGATAACGCCTCTAGCCACTGTGTTGCGCTATCTCTCGGACCCCAGCCAAGGAGTCGTGAAGGACCAACAGAAGCCAGCCCTTTGCAGATTCCGTTCATGCCACAACACCATGTCATACACTGACCACCTCTCCCCTTTTTCCAACCAGTTCCAGAGTCGGCAAATAATGCACAACGTGGAATTCTCTGCGACGACATTCGTAGAGCATGTCCAAGCCACCGAAGTCGATGTTTCGAGATGGTGACACCAATTGCATCATCGTCTTTGAGCCCAAACACACGATGCCGAACCTCTGCATTACTAACATGATGTTGCCACTGGATGTCAGCAATCCTTTGGAGACAACGATGATCGAACACAGAGAGTCGTCTAACGTCCTCAACTCGGAGAGGACAGGTTTCACAAGCATAGAACAAAACTGCTCTCACCGACGCGTTGTAGATCCGACCTTTTACAGCCAGAATAACATCACGAAGGCGCCAAAGATGGCCCAGATTGGCATAAACCGCTCTGGCTTTCATTATACGTGCATTGATCTCATCACTCACACCCCCCACCAGCACTTATACAGCTACCTAGATACACGAACTTGTCGACTACTTCTATCTGCTCACCATCCAGGGTGAGTACAGGATTACAACCCTGCCAGTCTTGTAGAAGAGCTTTGCACTTCAAAGTTGCAAAGCACATACCATACCTACGGACATTGATTGCCAACTGATTAAGTGCGGATTGCGTGCCTTGGGCATTATCGCACAGTAGGACAATATCATCCGCATACTCAAGGTCGAGAAGTCTTTCTCCGGGCAGCAGATCCGCACCGCCATTACTTACATCCATCACAGCTGTTTCCAGAATGTCATCGATGGCAAAGTTGAAGAGGAATGGTGAGATTGGACAACCCTGTCTAACCCCACTGCTTGAATGGAACAATGGAGAGGTGGTTGTATGCCCTCGCTCTACCTGAGGTTTTTGTATATAGGGCTTTAAAGATGTTAATAAACTTCTCAGGCACACTCTTCTTCAATAGACAATCTTAGAGAACGGTTCTGTCCAACGAATCGAAGGCAGCCCTGATGTCAAGAAACACTACGATTGTTGGCCTTTGATAAGTATGGCAGTGTTCTAACATTTGGCGTAGGGTGAAAATGTGATCAATACATCCAAGACCAGAACGAAAACAAGCCTGCTCCTTGCGAGTCAATCTTTCTCGGGTTTTGAACAACCTACGAAGTATGACAGAAGCCAAGGTTATTTGGAACTGAAGAGGAAGCAGAGAATTAAATGAATTCATTGAATTTGCGTCTTTTTCTTAACAATTTGTACAAACTATTCATGAAGTTAGGTATACGACTTTGACTTCGTTATCATTTGTGTAAATTTCTTCAGTTTGAGACAAATGATGTTACAACACAATGTGGGTTTTAATCTGGATTCGCTTATCTGACTAAATATTGCAGAAAATAGTTGCACATGCGCTTTTGGAATGGTACTAAACAGAATGAAATGACTAATGAATTATTGTACTACTTGAATCCGTGTATGCTGGAAGCGCTTAATATTGTCGAAATTTGATTCAATCTGTGAAAAAAACTTACTAAGCCTCACCTGATAAATATGCACAATTTAGGAGTTAAATGTTAAGTCAATGCTTTGAAAAAGACCTTTAGAAAACTAAGGTTACAATTACACTGGGTACCGACAAACATATTTAGCGTTTCCTATCACAGTTTTAGTATACACATAATTTTGTTAAGTATTGTACTACTAATTAACTGACTTGAAACAGGTAAACAATATTATAAATACACATAAGTGATTTGCTTGAATGTGTGAGCCTAAATTAACGTGAAAGTGGAGCAAGTCAGTGGATAAAGCTACGTGCACAATCAATAAGCGAAACATTTCTTAGAAACTAGCACAATTAAAATATTTAAAGAAATATGCTCATTAAATGGCATTTACCTTCTTGGGATAAAACCAAAAATATCGACAGTAGAAGTTTTAGAAATTCACTACATACAACAACCGTTGAAGCTGAGTATAACTCCGAATTCTGAACTGAACGTGAAACACGCATCAATAAAATTAGGCAGGAGGTTTGACATGTCAAGAAAATAAGACTGCCACATTTTATCCAAAGTGTTGAAGATAATTCCTAAAACAGCAAACCAATTGAACAAGATTAAAATTAGTAAAGAAAAGAGTGAATAATAGATACATACAAGTTACCAACTACATATATGGTACTCTTTGTACTTAAACACCAGATATGTCCATTCAAGTCCCTAGATGTAAGCGCAATATTTATTAAGTTGGTCACAAAGCTAACTACTAAGAGCATATTGTATCCAATTTGTCGAGGCGTAAAGAGGCAATTAAACGACATTCTTTTTAGTTTTTGTATATATATTGACTTAGCAAAATAAATAACGGTTGATGGAGATGTAACTGAGATAACCTCGGCCCAACGGCTTAGTTCGACGGCGACACCATGATATCCCAGGATAAATACACTTATAATACTTTAAAAGTTGACAGAGAATGAATGGATTAGAAATACTCTACTGGAATAATGAGCACGAGTTTATAAGACAACGATTTTATTTATTTTTTATTTGAGCACATAAATATTGGTATAAAGGGGAACCGAATACATATGCTCCACACAAGTCACTTCATTTGTGCGTGGGCTATGATACTGCCCGGGTGGCCCAGACCGAACATTAGAGGGGAACGTTAAACGATGAGGGAATAAACGGTACACATACACTTGAAATATTTACATCATTTATTACATTCAGTGACAGCTTTCTTAAAGCAATAACTTAGGCAGAAGAGAACTGACATTAAGGCTATATTGAGAGCTGTTGAAATGATGATGACAACTATCAGCACTGAAACCGCGATAAGTACCAACAGACAGAATAAAAGAATATCTCAATGCAAATGGTTAGGAGGAAAGTAGGTGGAAAAAGATGCAATCAGCTCGAACTAGGTGAAAAGATCCATGAATAACTGAAAGTCATTTCTTGAAAACAGCTGTGCACTACAAGGCAGGATCTATTGAAGGTTTTCGAGTGTTATGGCCACTCCCCAGTTTTAAGTGCTTTGACAAAGATGCTCCCAAATGCCCTGATACGGCCAACTCTGGAGAGTTAGCTCTCCTCGAAATGCTCTCATATGGTCAAACGTATACAACTACTGCCAGAGAAGTACTACTCACTACCTCGCACCGCGGCTTTTGTTTACGAAATTGAGAGGACGAGAAGCGAATGTATGGCGCTTTAACCACGCTCATGGATATTGAGGGTACATCTAGGGGAGTTGGAGAACCCTGATTCCAAACCAATGGTGCACATGAGCCACAGGATCTTGAAGGAACAAATGTCGTATGAACCAATTGCTGGTCACCGGCTTCCATGTGACTGCATCCCCTGACGCTGCTCCACTGCCTTGTGGGTCAGACCTTCAGGTTGAAGACTTTGCGTGTGGCTCCCTCTGAAATCCACCTGCTCCGATCTGGGCACCCGGGCAGTATCACAGCCCACACACAAATCAAGTGGCTTATATGGCACGTATGTATTCTGTGCCCCTTTGTACCGATATTTATATGTTCAAATAAAGAAACATCTTGCGGGTTACCTAATCCACTTATGTAAGACTTCGTTTAGAATACTGTATCTAAACAGCTAATTCGTGTCTTTTTAAGGGTACTGACACACCCTAGTATATACAACTTCAGGGAACTAAGTTAATGACAGACCTCTACTCAGACCTTTTCTCCTTATATTGTGGCAGAATGCAAGGCGATCTTATATCGGAATTTCGTATTTTAAATAGTGATTCGAGTGTAGATTTGCCATTTTGCTACTTTTATAGACGAACAGCCCAGTTGCAATAGAAAAAGGTTCATAAGCTGCAACCGAATAGACTCAGGATGGGATTCTGTTTCCCTTACTGAGTGGTAAACGATTGGAACCCCCTACCTGGACAGTGGTATCGGCAATATCAATGAGCTCTCAGAGGAGCTGGATCTCAACCGGGAAACACCACAAGGGTTAACGCAAGTCAACCAATCCACTATCCTTGTTACTGAAGACAGAATATTATGTCAAGAAATACATAAAGGTTAGCAGAAGCCAGTGTTTGTCAGAATATCAGTGACACATAAATATGGGGCTCTGTATGTGTACAATGTTAAATGCATAATTCTAAACATTCAGCAAGTGATACGATCAAAGAGGTGACAGCTAGTTTTCATAAACGTTATGATACCTCAGAAGTAACAAAGTCAGAGCTCGAAAGCTAAGACTGGGAGCTCAATTAAAATAAATATCACGACTAACACTAAATATTTAGTCGGAGTACTTACCATAGATGGTGTGAAAATGTAATTATCAAGGTCAAATATGGATATACTTCTAAGTGACCATGAACAACTAATAAAATCAGCGAACATATACACTAGTTTGTGAACACTGATTTCTTAGTAGGTCGTAGACAGAAAGTAAGAGTGAATTCGAAGTTCTCCACCTGGAGAACAGTACTTAGTGGAGTACCTCAAGGTTCAGTCCTTGGCCCCTTACTTTTTATACTGTATGTAAATGATCTCCCAAGTATAGTTGAATCCCTCAAGTTATTATACGCTGATGTAAAAACCTGGCGAGAAATAACGGGAGACACAGATGCATGAGCACTTCAGGCAGACTTAAATATTGTGATTAGCTGGTCTAAAGAGAGGCTGATGCCTATCAACGTGGCAAAGTGTATCTACATGCACTTTGGGGATGTAAAGGTAAATAGGTACAGTACAGAGGAAGTGTCTGTACCCGTGGTCCGGTCTCACAAGGATCATGGAGTCACAGTGAGTCATGATCTTAAGACCACGGCCCACTGCCAGGAGGTTGCAGATAAAGGGTTTAGAACCCTGTGGGCTTTAAGACGAACATTCACCTAGTTAGATACTCAGTCAGTCAGTGGGAGAATAGGCAGAGCCGACGAAGAGGCAACGACAAGTGTCCCTATCTTTCCGAGTCCTTACTGTTCTGTTTAGTCGAACAGCGCACAAACGACTGTCTACTGGGATCCAGTCTAAGAGAGCTAGTTTTGCCCTAGGACTCGATGCTATACCTACGCCGGCGAGGCCACGAGAAGCAGCATCAGGGCTCCCAGATACACAAAGTGTGAATCGAGTTGGTTCTTTATTTTGATATGGTGAGGTCAAATGAATGACGCTACTCGGATCCTGTATGAGCGTTTCGGAGACACAGCACACATCGATGGCGCGAGATTTTAAATAACCTAGCTAAGGAAGCTTGTTGTCCTATTTGGCACAGTGTTCGGACGTTATAAGCTCTAACATGAAGTTTAGAGCGTGGTTTCAGGAGACCAGGTGTAACGTTCCGCGTACTCGAATCGTTTGCGCTAGCGGTACGAGCTGATAAAAGAACGTGAGAAAGGTTAGTCGGGGAGATAAGAGAGGTATTAGGAGGTGTAAGAAGAATTTGAATGTGACCAACTTGGTCTCGTGTGCTGTTACGGGTATGAGGGCTGGTGTCACCTCCCGGCTGCCCACACCGTGGAAGGGTATTTCTTGAGGAACCTGAAAAGGAAATTGAATTAGTTGGTTTTAAAGACCTGGGGGCGTGACCGCAGAGCCCAAGGGACAACTGCTTGAGGCCGGCCGCGCACGACCTTTTGAGGAAGGTTTTTGACGTGCTAGCTCCGTTCTTCAAAGGGTCTTACCGCCGGAGACGAAAATCTGTGAGGTAAGGTGAGTTGTGACATTTTTAGGGTCGACCTTTTCTAACCCCTTCCTTCCTTGTGAGAAGGCTGCATCGCTGCAGATGCTGGTTTTCCGAGGGAAACACCTTACTGCTGTCACACCCCTCTACAGTCAGCAGTACGAATCCGCCCTCAGACCTTGAGTTGCTGCTTTTAGTCTTACCGTTCTCCAATCGACCTGCCTAGCATGGTAGAACCTACAGGAACATATGTTCCAGACATAATAGCTCGGTTGGGTAATCACGATAGGCAAGCCCGACCACCGCGTCAAGGTAGCAGCTACAGTCGGGTAGATACTACTATGTTCACTACAGTATATACAACCATAGTGAGAATTAAGCTTGAAGCCTATGTTCAGGCTGCAAGCCCCTGTTTAAAAGGTGACTCAGATATCCTGGAAAAAGCAGAGGGCAACTACCCGCGCAATTTCAGAACTCTGGGGTTTACCATACAAAGGGGGACTAGAAAAGCTAGATCTCTTTACCCTGTCCTATCGCAGATTAAGAGGTGATCTGATTTCGATGTATAGAATACTAAGAAATGATTTCTGATCTAATACATCCTCTCTTTTTCTTCCCATTAGATCGGGACATCTCAGAGGACATAGCAGGCAAGTAGAAAAGCCAAGAACGAACAAAATACCCGTGGCAGACAGGTTTTCACACCAAGTCATCAATTCTTGGGACCTGTGTCCGCACTTTCAATTGACTCATTCAAGAGAAGACTAGACACTCACAGAAGCATACTAGAAAAGGAATAACAAGCTGTCTGTCCCTACTACACAAATATGAATCTAAATATAATACTGGCTTGATATCTGAGACAAAAAAACATGGGATCGCAATTAAACTGAGAATAGAGCTGACACAGAAAAAGACATTGGTGGATATATGGCCCTTAAACATACATTCGGAGATCGCACGCTTCGTAAAACCTTCGCCTCAGAAAGATTAATGGTGTAACATTAATTGCGGAAGACAGCCCAAGATATAACGCATGACATGTATTCACACAGCATTAAAGTATTTAAGATAAAACTGAAGAAAATGATGGATAAAAGATTACAGTGAATACTATTAACACCTAACCAACCACTAAAATAGGACGAGCAAGAACATTGAGAAGAAGTAGAGTATAGAGACGAACCAAACTGATACTCATCTTCCAATTTCAACTGATCTAAGTTCGTGACGAATGAGGGTTTATTACGCAGGACTACAATTTATAGACGAACCATTCAGATTTACGACAACAAGTTTTGGATTTTGACGCGAAATACATTCACCTATTTAGCTAAACAACGCTTAGTCATTTTAGCTGGTGTCAGCCCATGATTAAAACCCCAAATCTGATTCCTAACCCTAACCAATATTCGTTAATCATAGTTCTTATACTCCACATAGGTTTATATATAAACCTGTGTTATAACCCTCCTTTAGCCCTTATAATTACGTAGACATCCTCAAGGTCATTTTGACGTCACTCAAAAGTCGTCCATAAACTATGGTCTCACCCCTAGCAGTCTGACTTTTTCAAACTTTTCCAGTAAGCGATTCGCTAACATGTAACACCCTTGACCTAGCGTAACCACAGTATTGGAAAAATTTCCCAAAAGTATGACCTTCGTGAGTCACTGAAAGTACTCATTCAAACAACGTTGTGGGAATATCTCAATATAGGTAGAATTTAGTGTATAGGTGTTACTCATCAACATACGAAATACATGGCACAAATGATACTAATGAGCAGTATTTGCAATTAGTTTTACACTTGATTTTATGTCTAATTTATTTTTGTAGTGCATTCGTGAAAAGCATCGATACATCCTAAGCTTATGCACTAGGCTTTTGTATTTACCAGTAATTATAAATCATCTGGTGTCAGTCTTCAGTAATAAAGATAGCAGGTTGTTGAGCCTTCTTGCTACGAATCCGAAGATTGTTTATGCTGTAAGAAGCAAAAAGATGTAAGATATTGTAGTGACTCACATTTATCACGAGAACACGACTGGTTTAATAAAAACAATTATTATTATAACCAACTGTACCAGTGTTTGTTTTAATGTGCTTTTGTTTGACTGTGCTAATGACAGCTATATTGTGCTTCCATTCTGATTCTTACACTTTGGTTGTAACTTCGCGCGAATTCGATTACGTTCTGTAACCAAGCTTCTATCCTGGCACGATCTCGGTATCCTTTCGATGCCACGAGATCGCCAGCAAATATATCTCGATCTGGTCCATTAACTGCCTTCTGATATTTGGCTTCTCGGGGATTTTATGGATTTATTTGGTTACGTTCAACCTACGCCTTCTGATTTACTTGGCACGTGTTTCTTGGTAGCGGTGTTCATAATTAACCTCAACTCGACACCACGCTACAATATTAACACCCGAATCGTAATTAAAGGTAAGGCACGTCAAAATAAGGTCACCGCGTTTTTCGACGCTATAAGGATAAAAGTCTAGGCTTTTCAAACTCTCGATATAAGGGAGTTCTGTAGGACCCTTCAATAATTTCATTTTTCACATTGAACACGCTAACGTGACTAAGTGTCCTTAATCAGACTTGGACTAGCAGCTTGGATACAGTACTCTAAGTGTGGTCTTACGCAGGCGGGATATGAAATTAGAAACATCTCGTCAAAGCATTTGAATGCTTGGCTAAGTGACCATAAAGCATGAAAATTTTTGCCAGATGCTGCGTTGCAGTGCATGGTTGTTTTCAAGTTGTTACTTACGCTCCTGTACGCATGAAGGAAATGTACTGTCGACAGCAATCTGGTAATTGTTACCGTGTCCGATGTGCATGAACACACCCTTCCTGGATTTAAGTCCTAAGTCACAACCTCGGGCCCATCTAACCACTTCGTGTAGGTCAGTTTGCAGATCATAATGATCAACCAGGTTTTGACGTCATCCGCAAACAATAATGTCGACGACTTTAGCCACAGCGGAAATTCACTGACGTAGAAAATGAAAGGTAGGGGACTTAAGATAATACCTAGGGATAACCCTTTTTGACCGGTGTTCATTCAAATAGTGTCCTACCTAGCTCCACTCTTTGTCTTTGGTCACATAGAAAGCTTCTTACTCATTTCTATACAGCAACTGTTATTCTGAGGCTCGGGAGCTGTTGCATAAGACCTTGTCAAATGCTTTGCTGAAGTTCATGAATATCACACCAACAGTCAGAACATTATCTAGGGCTGCCATCCAATCCTCTCTCTCAATAACTAAGTTGGCCAGGCATGAATGCTTGTTTAGAAACCTGTGTTGCTCAGGAACCAATAGAATGTATGATTTTATGTGACGTTGTAACTTAGCCAGTATTATCTGTTTAGATGACTTAACTACTATGCTAGACTAATAGGTCTGTAGTTAGATACAAATGTAGGACTAACTATACCATCTTTACAATCCTTAGGTAGCTGAGAATTCTATATTGTACCAAAAAGATAATATTGAATAAAGCCATTAATAATAATAATAATAATAATATAGAGAAGGGTCATGTTAAAGCGTATCGTGAGTGACTTTGAAATAATGTCCTTTAGAGATGACAGCGACCGTAGATGTAGCCCATCTTACTTAGTCTGAGGTTACTCATCAACTGAAGATCAGTTTCACCAATCACATGAACAGGTTCTATAGCTGGTATATGTTAGATATTGTTTTCGGAATTTCTGCTTCGTCGACTAGGTTAGTGAGTACTGCAGTTAATGTATGGAACTATATGAGTAGATACTATTGTGGAGATATGACTGACATTTACTATATATATCTACATATTTTTTTTAATAATTATTATCACTTGGTACGACACACCATATTTTTTTGTTTTTGTCATCATGAACTCTCCTGGTAAACTCATAAATATAGATAGTCCACTGACCAACCCCTTGAGCTCTTCACAACCAGAAGATAATTCTTTAAGCTCGATCAACACAATTTCAGAGTTAAGATTACCAACGTACGGTGTAAATAATTCCAGAATCTGGTTTGCACAAGTCGACGCATTATTTATGGCACGAGGCATACGATCACAGGCAACAAAGTATGCATATGTAGTTGGTGCACTCCCCATAGAGATTGCTGCTGAAGTAGGAGACTTGATTGACCATGTACCAGAATCAGAACCTTATGATAAGATAAAGACAGCCGTAATCCAACGCACCTCGGTTTCAGACGAGAGAAGACTGCATCAGCTGCTAACGTCTTGCGAATTGGGGGACAAGAGACCTTCGCAATTACTCCGGCATATGAAACATTTAGCAGGGTCATATAAGGTAGACGACGCATTACTTAAACAGATGTGGTTTCAACGTTTACCACAGAACGTCACTCAAATTCTCAGCGTATCAGGAACTTCCGTCAATCTCGGCGATCTAGCTGATATGGCAGACAAGATAATGGAGATTTATCCCGACAGTCGGTGTTTGAATACACTACAAACCTCTAGTAGAGACACGATGACCCCCCCTCTGGACATTCAGCAGCAAATAGCACACTTAACACAGCAGCTAGCATCACTGCAGGCGACTATTTCCACCATCTATTCTCGACCCACCAGATCTACGTCCAGAAGGAGATTAATATCCAGACATCGTCTTAGGTCACCTAAGCGGGCAGCCGGAATTTGTTGGTATCATTCGAATTATGGTGAGAAAGCACGTCGTTGCACAAAACCGTGCAACTTCACGACAAACAAGCCAGACCATCAGGGAAACGAAGTGGCCAGACAGTAATGGCGGCAGCTGTTACTGGCCAACATGTTAGCCGCCTCTTCCACATCAGGGATCGTATTTCTGGCTCAGACTTTTTAGTCGATACTGGAGCAGAAATCAGCATCATCCCACTCCATCTCTCACGCAAACAACATACGACAAGCACTAAATTGTCCTTAGTAGCGGCTAATGAATCAACTATCAAAACGTACGGTGAGCAATCACTTATATTAGATCTCGGACTCCGCAGAAGATTTACATGGGTTTTCATAGTTGCTCATGTCAAACGACCCATCCTCGGAGCCGATTTCCTTAGTGCGTACAACTTGATAGTGGATATGACTAAGAAGGGATTGATCGATGCAAATACACGTTTACAGGTAGAGGGTACACCTTCCAACGACTGTGAAATCCAGGGTGTACGAATAATAAAGCCTGCGAACAACGTTTTCAAAGACATTCTGTCAGAATACAAATGCATCACGAAATCAGATTATCAAAAGGAATGTAATTTACATCAGGTGCAACACCACATCATTACCACCGGCCCACCTATTAGCGCCAGGGCGAGGAGACTACCGCCAAGCAAGTTGCAAGTAGCTAAAAGAGAATTCGAACATATGATGCAACTTGGTATTATCAGACCATCCAACAGCCCTTGGGCCTCGCCGTTACACATGGTACCAAAGAAGGACCAAGATTGGCGTCCGTGTGGTGACTATCGACGATTAAACAATCAAACCATTCCCAACAAATACCCAATTCCGCATATACACGATTTTTCATTAAACCTACACGGTAAATGCATTTTTTTGAAGCTCGACCTAGTGCGAGCAGATCACGAAATTCCAATGACACCGGAAGACATTGAGAAAACAGCCATAATAACACCTTTTGGTTTGTTTGAGTTTCTAAGGATGTCATTCGGATTAAAAAACGCTGCGCAGACATTCCAACGCTTCATGGATAACGTAACAAGAGACCTTGATTTCGTGTTTGCCTACATCGACGGTGTTCTGATTGCAAGCTCATCTTTAGAAGAGCATATCCAACATGTCCAGATCCTTTTTGATCGTTTTAAAAAACATGGCGTCGTCATCGATCCTTCGAAATGCATATTCGCAGTCCCAGCCTTAGAGTTTTTGGGACATTACATCGACTCACAAGGGATCAAACCACTTCAGACGAAAGTTGAAGATATTACTAACTACCCCGAACCAACCTCGGTGAAGTCATTACGACGCTTCCTCGGTATGTGTAATTTTTATCGCCGCTTCTTACTACATTGTGCTGAAGTATTACAGCCATTAACCGATCTGCTGAAAACCGACAAAAAAGGTACGAAGAGAGAGAAGAATCAAACATTCAACCTATCTCTTGATGCCAAAACAGCACTTGAAAAAGCAAAGTCGATGATAGCTAATGCCACCATGCTACAACATCTAAATACTGACCCCACAACCCACTTAATTCTGTGTACGGATGCATCTCAAAAAGCCGTCGCGGCAGTATTACAACAACAGGTAAACAACATGACTGCTCCCATAGCGTTTTTCCCCAAAAGACTGTCACCAGCCCAGGAACGCTATAGTACTATTGGACGGGAGTTACTTGCTATCTACTTAGCCGTTAAACACTTTAACTTCTTACTACAAGGACGAACCTTCACCATCATGGCCGATCACAAACCTTTATGTTACGCATTCAACACTTCGTACGACCGACACTCACCTCGCGAAGCACGACAACTGGATTACATCTCCCAGTTTACGACAGATATCCAATTTGTCAAAGGACACACCAACGTCGTAGCTGACGCATTGTCACGTAAGGACGTAAATACCCTGGTACGTAAACAAGACATCGATCTAGAAACAATCG